GAAACAACCAAGGCCTCCAAAGGGGAGAAATCGAGGTATTTTTGGGGCCTTGGTTGTCTTCTCCAAGGTGTTCGACCTTGTCAAGGTCTCCACAAGGGGGCGAGGGCATCCGACATTTTGGGGAAGGGGGGTCAACCTCCACCTGTGAAGAACCGCTATGTTTTAGGATTGCGGATTGCGGTGAGTAAATGGTTCGAGTTTCGTCCTCAGTCAAGGCATGTAGAAATGGTAGAAACCGAACAGCATTCCAGTCAGGGGCGGGTGTGGGAGGTGGTTCTTGACGTGAACGTTTCATAACTGTGCCGATGCACTTCGGCAGAGTCACGTCATGAGTTGGAACGTGGAGTGGGAGGATGAGGGTCGTGTGGTGAAACATCATTCGTTGTTGGGATCTTCACTGCCAACGTCGACGATGTGATTCGTGAGCTATCCAACACCCTAAATCGACGCTTTTATGGAAAAGGTCATGTTGCGCACAGAGGCGGTTTCGTAAAAGCGCAAACTGGTGGCGGGTGTGAGTGGATGGCTATCATCAAGTTCGCGTCATGACGTACTCTCAACCCAACCGGGCAGAAACTGGTGTGTGCGGGCGCAGGCCGGCTTCCATGAAAACCAAACGACACTACAGTAGACGGGGGGCTTGGGGGGGACATCGACTTCCGACAATGAAGGATATGGCCACAATGAGCATGGTAACCCAACGCCGTGAGTGGAAGCCATCTGGTGAAAACCGACATATTCAGGGTGCTTCAGATGGAAAACACACATCGAGTGGGGTGTACACGGCCAAAAGTAGCAACAGTGTTGCATGACACTTAGCTTATGCCCTCGGGACAACAAGTACTTCCTCTCCTACTTTCACCGGTAGATTAATCAATATTGGCGTTTCGACCGACCAGACCCCAACCCTCCGTCGACGGCTGCACACTACAGGGTGCCTATTCTCAGGAATGATCTGCTCGCACGTGGGCCTTACGCGGGTGACATGTCTGGCAAACATCCATCTCTACTGTGTTCCAGGTCACCCTCGACTACCTCGGTCGTCAACGAAACAAGCGGGAAGCCACCCGGCGGCCAAATAAACGATTTCTTGATCCCAACAGCAGTCTCGACTTTTAGATCGCTCGACGTCCCGTGATTGTGCTTCGAAGCACCCCACAACACCATCAACAGCAGTTGCCAGACCTACATGCTAACGCCCGTGATGGTTGGTGTCGCAGTAGAAGCGGGTACAGTAGATTGCGTGTGTTTTGGGTGATTATCCCATCTGGTCTGGGTAACAGTCAACACGTTTGGGTGCATGTTTTGACGCACCGACCTGGGTCACACAGGAGGACCTCGAACGCTGGAGCGTTCAACGTTCACCCCACCAACATTTCCTCCATTTTTTCCAGTTATTTGCGCGCAACGCGTGCCAGATTCGTGCAGAAAACCCACAGCTAGCATGCTTGCTTGTAACAATAAGCCCCTGAGTTTCGCTTCGTCTTCTGTCTCGTCGCAGCTAAAGGAGAATGAACGCGGAGGCATCGCCAAGACCCTGAGCAACATGGGACTGTACAACATGGACATGGACAGGATGACCGACGAGTCGCTTGCGGAGGCGGCCACCCTGCTCACACCCCACTCCAGCTCCAACCAGACACTCAAGGTAGAACACTCTTCGTTGTTTGGAGTATTTTGTTTTTTGGTTGTGTCAGAATTGCCACGTCCCCGTTTGGTTTGTGCGTGCGTTGGGTAACTGCCCGTGACCGCGTAAATGTAGCTCTGCCTCCTTGGCGTCGTATTTGACGGAAGAGGAGGCAATTGTACGGGATGGAACATGGGCTTGGCAAAATGGTTCCGGTTGGCAGCAGGTGCAATGGTTGAACGAACCCTCTCACACTTCGGCTCCGATCAGACCCTCAAACGCTTCAGTCGACACGTCTACCACCGACACAAGTATCCCTGCAATGCCGTTTTGATTGTTTTGGGCCTTTCATGTTCTTTGTGAAACCACGGAACCACAATTGTCCTCTGTTTGTTGGCTCGTTTATTACGAAATTGTTCCATTCCTCATACGGCGAAATCTTCCATCCCTACGAAAAACAACTAAAAAAAAAACAGGTGGTAGACGTCGAGCCGAAACGGCTGGTTCTTCTGGTGAAGGGACAGCTGCTGCCGCGGCCCCCTACCGACTCACACCCTGCGGTGGAGATGCACATGGCCCCGTGCCTGCTCACGGACGTCTGTGGCCGCCTGGTGTTCAGCAAGGACACCAAGATGTTCCTCATCCCCGTCAGCGTGGTGGAGAAGTCCAAGTGCGTTCGTTTCTCTTGCACGCGTAGCGGCCCGGCCGTTTCTGATCTATGTGCAGACGCGGAGGGGTTCATGCACTAGGACGGCGTTTTTTTTTTTCGAACCGAGCATGTCCCTCTCGGCCCGTGACTAGACTATGGTATATGATATCAAGATTGGGAGGCAGCCGTGAGTGGTTCACACACGCACGATAATAGTGTTCGTGGCGACAACTTGGTGCACTGTTGTTGTTTCTTGTAGTTTTATAAAATGATATTCTCTATATCCATGGATATAAGGATAAGTTCGTGATGACCCTACAGTGTTGCATTGAAATATTTGGGAATAGTGTCGGTCCTTGAAAGCACCGGATCCCAATTCAAGGTCGGGACTGTGCTTCAACTGGTGTCGCTGCGCCCTGCCCCTGCCCCCTCATATCCTGGTGCACGTCTTTGGCCTCTCGCTCGCCGTTGTTGCAGGAAGTACACCTCCGCGAGGAGGACTCGGAGGGAGAAGACTGCACACAGACAGGACACTATCCAGGCGCGTCCCCCCCCCCCCCCTGCCCGTCGTTTTATACGACAGAAACTTTGCCCCTCACACAAAACGCGTGTACAGCGGGGGTCTCGTTTTAGCGACTCCCTGTTTAGGGACATGCCGTGTTTCTCGACCACAAAATCACGTGGCACCGCCGCACCCCGGTAGAATAACTGCTAATAATTGATAGGTCGGTTTAGCGGCCTTCCCTGAGTAGCGGCAACATTTCGTCGTGACACTAGGGGTCGCTAGGCCGGGCCTCCCACTGTATTGTGTTTTTTGCTCAGAGGCCGCGATATAGTAATTTTTCTGAATACGGTCCTCCGCAGTTGAAGCACTTGTGTCGTTATGAGTTTCCACTCTGTCGTGTGGGATCTTGTGCGCCCACGCCGTTCGATGTCACTTCGAAACCCTCGACCGTAAGCGTTTCAGCATAGAGGTTTTAGCGACTGAGAATCTTCGTTTCGGGCGTTCGGGCCACTGCGGTACCACGTGCTCTGTCTTGTCTCCCTTGTCACACTGCGGCGAGCAACAGTTTTGTTTATTATTGACTTCAACCTCTAAATGATGCTGCACACATCCCCTGGACGGCCCTTCCTCGCCAGGATCTGAACGAGCACCGCCTCCCCGGAGCTAGGCACGTCGGGAATGATGAGATGGACCAGATCAAGCAGGACGCCCTGGGGGTCGGGGCAAGGACAGACCTCAACGCACGACAGGCGCTCACCCGCAAACACAGGTGCCAGCACGCTCACTGTTTGTTGTAGTTTTTGCAACCATGGATCCGACGACCTATCAGCCGAGGGAATAGTTCAGCATACCAGTCGCATTTTGCACCACCTGTCGTGTTTTATTAATGATATGCTGTTCGAGCGATACGTTGTGCGACTTTTGGGCAGCGACGGTTTCCCCCCCCCCCACACCCCCTAAAGATCCCTCTTGGTTCTTGGTTCCGTGATCTTCGGGATGCTCTCGCCTGTCGTTACAACGACGACCCACCCCTTCCTTTTTGGATGTTTTTCGTGATGTTGCGGTGCCCCATCTCCCGCAGCGAGATGGCCAGGCGGGCAAGCGAAACGGCTTTCTACGAGGATGACGGGGCCCGCTCGACGTCTACGCCAGAGCACGGGGGTGACGGGGGTTCCGTGGAAGGGGGCTCCGCGGTGGTCGAAGACGCAGAGGCGGGGATAGCCCCGCGAAAGTCTTTCGTGATGAAGCGCGTGTGGGGCGGCATGAAGATGGTCGAGGTGGGCGAAGAGAAGGGGCTTGTTGTCGGCGCGGAGAGTTTGGTCTTAGGAGCAATAACGAGAAGCCAGGCTTTGGTTAGGGGCCCGCTTCGCAATCCGGGGATGGGCATTACTTGATGGCGATAAATGATATTGATGGAACACCGTTCAATATCCTATGGTACGTGGTGAATATTTTGTGTATTCCGAGAAGGCTCGTGCCTGGCGAAAGCTGCACGATCGCCTAGTGACCGGCCCTTTTCCTCCCGCCATTGAAGAATGACGGATGGAATCAGCGACGCGGTCCACTGAGCCCATAGCAAATCAATCGAAGCGCACCCAAACAGTTGGGCGTGTCTTGGTTGAGAGTCAGGCCATGTCTCGAAAATATTGTTTTGCGATCGGTAGACGACATGGTTATCTTGGTTGAGAGTCAGACCATGTCTCGAATTTTTTTTTTTTGCGATCGGTAGACGACCATGATTAGGCCTCGTTACAAATGATTATCCCTTCGCTTGACGAAAACCAAACACGTGTCGCTGCAGGTGGACGAACACGGGCACCCGGTGGCGAAGGCCCAGCTAGGGGCCATCATGGAGGAACGCGAGCGCGCGTCGAGCACGGTGTCCAACTCGGCGAGACCGGACCAAGAAGGGGGTGAGCGGACACCCACAAAGGCCAGCCAACACGTACCTTTAGCAGTCGCCGGGTGACACGTACAGTTTCAGCAACAGGACGACCGCTCGTGTCAATGGCCCACACGTGCTTGTAGCAGCAACAGAGTGACACATACACTTCGGCAACAGCACAAACACCCATGTGCCTACGCTGACTACTATCTACGATAGGATCACCGACTAGAAAACCGCAGCAAGAGAGATATACATGGCCAAGAGTCTGCGGGAGCATTAGCCTTGAAGAGAGTACGAGCTTTTTCAGAATTAGAAGGTTATCAATTATCAACCACGGTGAGTGCTTTGACCATCGCCGTCGGTTGTACCCCCTTGAAAACGTGACTTCACCATAACGCATTCTTACGCAAGAAACCTGGGTTCGACTTGGACGGCTGATAACGGGTGTGTGGCAATGACTATCATAGGTGTGTGTGTGGCGAGTACGAGGGGTGACGCATCGCCGACCAGCAGGAGCGCGCTTGCACCATCGAGGTCTTGGCTTTTTCGGGCCTTTTGCCATACCTCAAACTCTGTTTTTTCCACCATGTCCAGGGCGAATCAGTTTCTCCGATTCCTTCTACCTCACCCCCTACGTCAAGGCCAAAGCCTGTGCAAAATTGCGATTGGGCTCGTGAGGTTGTAGCCCAGAGATCAACGCGTCACCTTAGCCAAGGCGCCTTGACAACACCCTCCCGCCCGGACGCGTATGTGGTAATCCTGCTAGGTGGTAAAAGCGGCGGTACTGGCACGGGAGGGCTGGCGACCTTAAGAGGAAGGCTGGGATCGGCCAGCAACATCATAAGCGCGCGCGTGCGACGCAGCTCTAGCGCCTCCACCTGGGAGGGCGACGAGAAGGAGGCCGAGGTACGTATTGCTGTAGTTGCCGTTGTTGTTGTTGTTGTTGTCGGTGATGTGGTCAGGGTACGTGAAGGTTGGCCGGTGATGGATGACTTGGAGACATTAAGATCGTACCCATGGCAGACATGAACATTACCACCGTCACTCCTCTCCCCACCGCTGGCATGGGCTTGGCACAGTTGGTAGTTTTGTCCATCTCACGCCACCAGGTTTTCGTTCCGTTGCGACCCCTTCCGTTCCGCGGGTTCTTCCACGACCGATGCCTTTCGTGCGACCGTCCCAGTCGGTACAGGACGGTAAATACAACGAGAGACCACCAGTGGACTAGGAGACGCCTGGGGGGGGAAGCATGCGTCTGGGATTTGTAAGACGCAGCCACCACCTTTTGATTGACTCCGTTTGGGGAAAGGGGGGGTTATAGGTTTGTTTTCCCTTGAGAGTTGCTGGCGTGAACGAAGATTATCCTATTGGGAAGAAGGGTTGGAAATGGCGCTGCGGACATCGCCACCGTTTTGGACTTGTACGGGGGGTTACGTCCCCTTCCTTCTGGCGGGGAGGGGGGCGCATCGCCTCCTTGGTGGATTGTCTACCGCACGGGGAGAATGAAGACGAAACTTGCCCTCCTGATGGCCATGGGATGGGGGAGAAAGAGTCCCCTCCGATCGCAGAACCGATGCGATGATACCCTGAGGCTGTCAGAGGCAGTGGTCAATTCTACCACCATCGGGCTTTTGGAGAAGAGAGTAGGCTTCCCGGCCTAAGCCTTGGGTTGTTTTTTCGACTGTTTTGCATCTGTCGCACTTTTTGCGTCCCTCCGTGCCAAGCATACAGCATTTTTTGCGTTGTCTTGTCGTGTTTAGATTTTGCATTGCCTGTGCTATGCGTATAGGTATTCTATCTTGTGGTCGTGTATACATTCTGAACGTTACGCTGCAGTGGGGCCGCCTTGTGACGGGGCCTGAACATCCCGTCGTTTCGCGAAGTGAACGTTGTCTACATTTAACCTTAGGTGATGTAGATGGACGACAATGGGCGAGAGGGGATGATGCCCCGAGTGGTGCTGATTCCCCCATTTTGCCAAAAGCTTTCAGCACTCTACCGTGCATATTTCTTCGGTTGGTTGATAAATGCAACCCCTCGTACAACAATTGGTGGCTGTTGTAGTTGTGACACACGGCGGTTCCTTGGCATGCGTGCGCGAGAGACGGCATGAGTGACACACGCACGCTCAGGGCCAAATCCATCAGCGCCGCTGTTTCCCCTTGTGTTAGAGGCGTGTTCCTTTGTATTGTTATGACTGCGTCTGGGCGAACACCTGCGCTCGTTCATGTTCGCAGACGCACACTGGTCTCAGAAAGAGATCCTCCGTGCTTTTTTCGCCAGGTAGTGGTATGAACGGGTGTCAGTGGTACACCAGATTCCGTGTCTTCGCCGAAACACTCCAGTATGTATTTGGTTTAGCATAAGGATATGTTGAGATGATCAGGTTATTAGAATTACAGTAGTAATTCTCCCCAGGAGATATTTGACAATTTTTTATCAATACCAGGCATCAGGACGACAACGACATCTGGGTTGTTATTAACTCTCTGCGATCGGAAAGGAACGTCACGTCGCTTATTTATTTTTTTTCCCGAGAAGCGGCATACGAACGCCTATGCATACTTGACGTTCACGGGCCCTTTACAGCTTGCACGATCTTGGGCTGTATATCTGAGATATTGGGCTGATGACTGGCACGCAAAACTTCGAAGCTAAACTTATAAAGTCTGTTTTGGCTATACGTCCTTATTTGTGGTGGTCGCTGTTCAAAGGACGCATAGTGCCAAGAGATTTGGCCGGCGGCTTACCGGGCACGCTTCACTATTGAGCGCATGAGACAGACCGTGATTACTGCACGGAATTCGTGTCACGCGATTTGGCCGGCCCTACACGTGGCGTTCGCCCTTATCGTTGCGCTTGTGCAGTGACCCAGCATCAAGCACAGCATCATTAGAAGATACTTTCGTCTCTCCCGTTGGATTCCCTCACAACATTACCCAGTGAAAATGGAGGGTCAGGCGCAAACTCACGACAGTGAGTGAATGGTCCATCCGTGACATAACGTTGTTGTTTTTTCTGGGCCTCGGCTGCGCTTACACCATGGGCTCGCTAACCGCCCCGTCCAACGCAACGCAACTGACACCATCCCAATGATAGATGGGAAAATACAAAAGGCAGAGGGCGACAGGCAAATATTATCGTCGATGGAAAAACCGCGCGCGACCCCCGCACATTACGACTCCCTTCGACAGCGACACGTACCTAATTTGTAAATATTGAATAAAGGCCTTCGGGTCGTGCAACAAATCGAACGGCTTGCCAATAGCCTGCTGCGCTCCTACACGGGTGAATCCCCCGTCTGCCTATGCTAGGGATCTTCCCTCATATTTCAACTTTCGATAAACGGCGAAACGACAGAAGAGGCGGGCTGCCTTCGGCTCAATACGTTTTAGTTATCGCGCAAAAGTGCGCAATTCTCTGCAACGGGAGTCATCGCCTACTGAGCAGGTGCAACCGCGCAACGAGACGCAGCATGCTGCCAATTTACTTGTTTCTCTATTGCCAAAAGCCCTCCCGGAAATACCCCGACACGACTTGCTTGCCCCTCCAACGTCGCACTACCTCGTGTCCTCAATTTTCGCAAACCATCCTGTCAGAATGCTGCATTCTATTGCACGTCCTAGCAATGCAGCCTCGTTCCCTATGGCCCTGCAATATTCACGGCGTTTACGCACAAAAAATGTTGTCATCTTCCGAATGCCCCCATCTAGGTCCGATACCTCCAAAGAGCGTCGGATCTCGGCGTGCATGTCTATTCGAGTGCAAACGCGATCGCACTCCGATCGCGCGCACACACCACGTATGGTGGAGTGCTACTGATACGACTAGCTCGTATGCATACACGATCTGTATACAACACACACAAAACAAGTACCCCACTTCAAGACTGACGCGTTGTCACTGGTCGATCGGCAAGCGCGGTCGGTGCTTGTGAAACAGACACACAAGACACAAAGGCACACAGACACCCACTGTCAACCGGTTCGTGCGGTCGATGCTAATAAGAAAGGCACACACACATTCGCACGCAAGCCTGCCACCGTTTCGATGTCAAGTCGGGTATAATGTGGCGCGGTCGACCAAGAACAAAAAAACACAATGACCTACGCATTCTAGGTCGATTTCCGCGCGCCCGAGCAGCCCGGGCAGATGGCGCATGGACTTTCCCCCCGAAAAGCTTGCAACACGGATCCAACCTACGGCGTCGCTTAAGTACAGCAGCACATCACCCGTGCTTCAAGGTACACCGAATCAAGTCAACCACACACGCCCTCTGTAGTGAAGGATTTTTCGAGACACTCCTCATCTGCCATCCCGCTGTTTTTCTACGCGGAACGATACTAACAAGAGAGAACAGAACACAACCTAAACCCGCTTGACCCCCCGGGGATTTTAACTAATACATCATCTACCGGTGGCGCTCGTCCATCCGCCAAAAGCGACACCAATCACGCTACGAAATACGTATTCCGATTCGTCAGACAGCTTTGTCAGAAAAAAAAAGCCGGCGCCACGTCGTCGCGTGAACATTCCCGACACGTCCCACCCCCAAGGGCGTGGCCTCACGTACAATCAGGTCCAAGCAAGAACGACGCCATTTCTTGTGTCGACCAGCCGGACGCTGTAACCCAACGAGCCATCCCGATGGCTGCTGCCACCAATACCGGCATCAACGCCAGACCACGCGGCTAGGAAAAAATGAAACACTTTGCCCGCAATTCTGGTATGCCGAGCGCTCTCGTGCCGATGCTCTGTCATGGACGGCGGAACATTGGCGGTCTCCGTGACTCGACGCGGAACGTGAACCAAAATTCAAAAGCGCCTTACCTATAGTGGTGAAAAGGATGGAGGAAAAATCGGAAGCACCTCCAATTTCGGCAATTCAAAATGTGGGACAACACTTCGGACATCTTCAAACTTGGAACAATATTATCCCGGGTACGAATGTACGCTCGTGAGGTGCTGCAAAATAGCTGGAATGGGCACAAATGCACACGATGCGCAGCATTCGGACTGCGAGGCAGTCCAAAATACCACGGAAAAATTCGGAGGAAATCCCACTGGGTGCCCACTCCTGTGGCAAAGCACACACGCTCACGCATCCCTGCTGTGACGCGGGAGACATGGCAATGGGCCTGCCGCCGACAACCTATCGCACGTCGGAGGCTTGGCATAAAAGCGCCGTCGACAAGGGTACCACCTGGCCCCCTCCGCAATCGGAAACGGACGCAGAGAGCGTCGCCGACAGGGAAACTGCCTGGTCCTCTCTACAGTTGGAAACGGATGCCGCGACGACCTGGTCGAGGGCAGAAGACCCTCGTTCCGATGGTTCTCCGACGTGCTGTCTCGGAGCAAAGCAAGGGCATCTTCCCAGCCAGCCATCGCCGCCTGATGTCCACGCTGGGTTGGGCATCCCGTGCTTCGGGGTATACAAGACCAACCGCCGCTTGCATTCCTAACCAAGAGGGGACAAGGAACCTTCTCCTCGTCTCGGATGCTTCTTGAGCCACCTCTCCAGGACAGTGAGACCGATGATGGCCACAGCTAGCACCCCGGCTACAACCGCGATCACCACGGGCGTGGACCCAGCGCTAGGGACAAGCTCAGTGTCCACCGGCACGGACCTTGTGGTGTCCAGGAAGACAGCCGCAAAGTCAGGCGCTTCCAAAACCGTCGGCGAGTTGCTCCCAACTCCGAAGTCGCTGGCAAACGTAAAGCCCGCCAGGACCATCCGGCCATTGTACCCGGAGCCGCACAAGCTCACGCTGTCGACCTCGGTCTCTTGCGAGCCACCCTGTGGTTGTCAACGTCCCGAGATACACGCAGGCGATTGGCACGAATGTCCGTACAAAGACGACCGAGCCGGCTCCTTGGCGTGCAAACCTAGAGGACTTACACCCGCACGTCTGGAGGAGAACAAAGGATGACGGGAGAGAGTCCCGGTTCCAAAAACCAGGGGATGGTCTCACCGCAGAAAATAGTTGCTAGACCCAAGCCAAGAACGCGAACAGGTCACGACGCTGGAGTGTCAGAGGTCGGCAATTGCCTCGAACATGCGGAGGCACCACCCCCCCATGGTGCGAGACACAGAAACAATTATGTAGAAAAAACTATTTCGTCAACAAGAAACCTTTGGTATGTGAGCGAACCTCACCTCCCATCGCCAAACCTCCGTGCCACTTGCGTTTAACCTTAGCGCCACGAACCCGCCGCCGGAATTTCCGCTCAAGACCACCGAACCATCCTCTTGGATTGCCGCCCCTTCCAATGTATCGTCTTCAGTAGTGCCATCCTGTCGCCACGTTCGTTCATACGGCCGAGTACGTTCTGGTTGCAGTGGTTGGGTCATCAAATAAATAACCGTTTCGATTCCTGCCTTCAGACTCTTCCGACATCAATATTGAACCAACTGATGCGGGCTCCTTCCGGAACCACAAGCAAACTACCCCAAAACGGGCCAGCAGAACAAAATTCAAGCAAGTGCGCGCTGGACTTGCGGTTGATGTGTCGGTATTGCACGCTCAAGTGTTCCAGGATCGAGAGCGGGCCGCCGTCACACATGAACAAGACAACGACCAGGCTGCGTGAAACCTAATCTCAAAGACCCCTAGATACCCGTGGGCAGTGACGCTCAAGGAGTTCGCTCCCTTGCAGTCGGACCTAAGATTGGTTTTTCTTGGGGACACACAGAAGGCTGGCAATGTTGCGGGAAGGCTTAAAACCGAAGCCGGTGCTTGTGAGATTGAATGCATCGCCGACGCAACATCCGTGATTCTCTCTCCGGCCGGTTGTGGTTGGTCCACCTCGCGAAGTTCCTCCGCTAGGGGCGAAAGAAGGCGTGGGCCAGGAAAACAAGCACTCACCTGCCATCGCCAAATCTCCTTCCCATCAGAAGAAAGCATTACCGCGGCGAAATCCTTGCTGAAGCTACCGTCCGCGTTGTCAGAGCTCCAGCTCCCGTACGTGTGTCCGGCGAGCACGGCCGACCCGTCGTCGGAATGCGCAACGGCCTCGACAACATCGTCTTGGACGGTGCCGTCCTGTAGGGGAACGGGGGACCATCAAAACCCGTCAACGAGTATCCTTCGGCCGGCGTGAACAATTCTTTTCCCATTTTCACTGCGAAGACTTCAACACATCCCATTCGACTATCTCGAACGGGTACAATCTTTCGTTCATTGTTCGCACTTTTTCTAACAAATCTTCCCGAGGCACGACACCGCGCCGCGTCATACAATCGTGAACCGTAACGATCGGCCAGGTATACGTCACAGACTCTCTTCGCGTTGCGCGCATGCCGCGCTTGCGGGCGGCACACTACCCGAGGTGGCAAAAAACTAACACAGAGAAATCGTACGTCTCATTCGGATCGCCATTTTGGTTCCGCTCGTGACCAACGTAGGACACGCCTCGACAAAGTCACCGCCTCTATAGGGCCGGTAAAATGGTGCCCTGTTTACAACGCTGAGGGACCGCCGCACGAAAACACAGGGCCACCCACATGCCTCACGAAAACCCTATGGTGCACACGTGACACCGCGTGCATTCTCGAGAGTATGGTGTCCCTATGTCCTACCGGTCGCCCCTACATCAACAACAAAGGTATGCCCCCCCCGCCAGCCAAACCGCACGCTTGTGCCAGGGTGAGCGCTGACCTGCCACCTCCAGACCTCTGTCCCCGAGTCGTCTAGCTTCACGGCGACGAAGTCTGTCCCCCCCGCGCTCGTGCCGTTGAAGTTTCCTGGCGGCGATAATGAAGGGGCGCGTGTGCTTGTTTTATTCAAGAGCGTGTGATTTCCTGGGAAAGAAAGATCTCCCGGGAAAAAACTACGGACCCTGAAGATGGCCAGGTTTCATGAAATTCCCGACGCTCCGCCGGAGTTTCTTCGAACGAGAACTTGGAAGAAGATATAGGGGGGGAGGTACATCGATATCATTATGCCTAACGATAGGCAGGGACGTTGAGGATTGGAGAAGAGGGGGGTAATTATCCGCTGCGTGTCGTTGTCGTTCGACCATTGACCGCGCATCCCATTCGTGAGCCAGATGGCCGTTCGGCGACACTTGAACGCGATATTATGGGGCCGGCAGATGCTGCCTTCGCCGAAAATAGACCAAGTACCGAGAATGTCAGAGCGGTAGTGAAAACATACGTGGAAGCCAAGCCGAACGAAACAATAGCTAGGTGAGAACATGAACCACGCTTTTGCGCAGTCTTAGGTGGGGGTTAATCCCAGTCATCGCTGACTTAGTAGTCCAACGGATCAGCCTTTGTTTATATCACGCGATACGTTGGCCTTGCTGGCTGAGTAGTCCATCGACAAAATTGCCGTTCTCTATAACGCGATACGTTGGCCTCGGCTGACCGAGAAGTCCAATCGACTATGATAGCCGTTTTCCATAACACAATACGTTGGCCTTACCGGTTGTTCGGCCACCAAGGATAAAGCTGTCGTTGGCCGGGGCGATTGAGGACACGGCGTTGAGTCCGTCCGTTGTGGCCTTGCAGGGTAGCGGCGGAGGTAGCGGAAGTAAAAAAAAGAAAAAAGTCATCGAACCACGTCGGCTGTGCGGGCAACGCGTACGACACTGCTGTTGACATACAATTCATCACACCACCCTGTTCCTCAAGAACTGAACGATCCCAACCCATACGTGGCGTTCACTGGGGTCGTCCACGAAGCTAGAGCGACAGCTTCTCCGTCCCACCGAGCCTCAAGACTCTTCTAGCGGTAACCACAACGACCGCCACGCGGTGCGGCGGGTCAACCCCTATCGTGGGGGAAGGGACCGCTTTCGCGAGGACGGTAGAGTTTATCTATGAAATAGAGAGGGGGGATTCGTACCCCTATCCCTAACACTAACCCCCAACCTCACCCTGTACCCTACACTAAAACCAATATTAAATTCCTTGCGAACGCTATGTTTTCTGGGGGGGAAGCCCGCAACAACGCGGCTCAGAGAACCAAACAAAAGACCAAGAGCACAGCTCCTCCTGAGGAAAGCTGAGGACCTCGCGACTCACTTGCCACCTCCACGTGACGTTCCCAGAGCTGTCCAGCTTGCACGCGGCGAAGTCGGTCCCGCCGTCGTCGAACGCGAGGCCTCCCACTAGCACGCCGCCTTGCTGATCGACGGCGATCGCCTCGGCCAATCTGGAAGCGTTGTTATCGTCGTCCTGGAAGCGGCCGTCGGTGAAACCGAGAAAAAAAAGCGGAGCTAATTCTCAAAACCGATTTCGCGGATTTTGTGCTCGGTTTTTCTCGCTCTGGAGGAGGATGTAGCTGATACGGTTTGTCTGTGAACAACTGCGTACCAAGCTCACTCTCTGGCGTGTGGTGTCGATGCATAAAAAAATAAGGCTGGCCTGGTCATTGCGGGAAGGACTTCCCCCCTGAGGTCGCAGCATGACCACTATTAGGTTATTTTGTATTTCCTGTCTTCGCGCCATCTGTCTCCATCTGCGTACGACCCTCCTCCCCAGGGTTGCTTACCCTAGCGCATCATCGCCCACGGTGAGCACGAAAAAAAAACACGATGATCATCGCCAACTGCACGTACCTTCCACTGCCACAGCTGACGACCGTCGCCCGATAGCTTCATGACCTCAAACTGGAACGCCGCAGATTCTCCCCCTGTTGTCGAAGAATTCCACGATGATGATCCCGAGCTGGTGGCTGCGCTCGTGGGAACATCCAGAGCCAAAACTATTGACCCGTCTTCCCCGGTTGCGACGGCGGTAACGCTGTCGTCTCCGCTCCCGCCTCCCTGTCGCAAGTTTCACGAGCCAGATATATTTAGTAACCTCTTTTACTTTTTTCAGTTGTGGGGACGCAATCGAAATGAGGCGAGTCGTCTCCGCTCCCGCCTCTCTGTCGCAAGTTTAACGAGCCAGATATATTTAGAAAAGATCTTCTTATTTTTTTTCAGTTGTGGGGACGCAATATAAAGGACGAAACTCTCATCGAACCTGACCACGAGGTAGTAGAGGTTACAGCAGGATATCCTACAGTTTCAGGCAAACGGGGGCTTGCTTCATCTCCCTGCAGCCACGATTGTGGTGGTTGGGCGATCGATGCCTCTTGAGACTGCTGCTGTCCTAAGCAGGGTTGGTTTCGAGCGAACCTGGAGACTCCACAGCTCGTTCCCGTCGCTGTCAAGCTTCACCGCCACCCAGTCAGATCCCCCCGCATTTTCTGCCGCCCAATCCCCAAACGTGAAACCTGCGTGTCAAATTTGGCGCCCGGGTGCCCACAATCAACAACAGATCGTCCGAGATCAACAACCAGAGTACATCAAAGACTTAAAGAGAGAATACTAGTACCGTCTTTACGCACTCATCGTCCATTCTCTTGTCTGCCAGCATGCGGCAGAGTCACACCGGCCCAACCAATACCGCGGACATATACACTCCGCCTGCTCCAGTTTAACGATGCAAACTAACCTACTGGGGTGTTCCGTCAAACGTTTTCCCATTCAGATACGCAACGGCACCTGCCTGCGAGAATAGCGGTTTCACTTGAAGCGCTCTCCGGGCCCAGAGAACAGGCGGTCAGAGCGTCTTCGGCAGCAGTTCCGTTCTGCGACACGCGAAATTTGACGGCAGAATAACGTGGCGACGAAGGAGGACGCGACATAATGTTGCTTCACTGCCATCCAGACCATGCTGACCTCTATCCGGTGCCTCTGGTTTCTACAACTGCTGCAGCGAAAAAAACGTCCGCGGTCACAGCACAGCCAAACTAAGCACACACGCGAGCCACCTCACGACTGATGAAGATACAGGTCTCGAACGCACAAAAGAATATCCCGGAGTCGAGAAAACAGTCAAAACACATGGGGTGCCGAAAATCGATCTTAGGGGTCATCGGAGTCCCGACCTAAAATTCTCCGTCAGCACGGATGTTGTGGAGCTTCGGAACGGCTGATGATAACCCTCATAGCACGTATGTAGACTAGTGCTGTGTGGCTGTGCTGCTGTCTGAGGCTGCAGCTGCGGTACGAAAATCCTGCGAATCTCTCTTGGGTCTTATCAGTCATGTCTCTGCCACGCTCGCCTCCACACAAACTGAAGGACTGCAGCAGCGGTGGCCTTAGACGAACAAAGGATGGGGGCTCGTGGTGGTGAGTGAGGACGTGTCAAAATGTTTTGTTCGGATCAGACTACCTGCGGAGTATTCGAACCCATATGCGGCCTTTTTAATGCCACACGGCGTCAGCATATAGATCTGGGCGCGCAGACGTGCATGCCGCTGCTTCATGGTGTCCTCCATCGATAAAAAACGTTCCAGGTTGGGACTGCACTTAGCCGGAAGATCACTCTCGATCCGTTTTTTTTGTTTGTTTCGTTAACTTTACAACCAAGTATTCACACCTCCTCCCCGGTCTGCCCCCCCCGTCCCTGGGGTAGGCCGAGGTCCCGCAAGTGGATCTAGACCTCGAAAAACCACCCAGCAAAGACGGATATACGGTCCCTAGCACTGTTGAGAGGGGGATCCTGAGTTTGGCGGTTGGGAGTTACTGCTGTCGTGAGATCGGGGTAGCTCGTGAACCGCCAGCTTTGGTAGCTGCAAAAATGAGGCTGGATCCTAACGCCCCGGCTTGGACACCGGGGTTATGCAGCAGCAGAGAGCACGGTTAGGGTGGCGGAGTGACCGCACGCCGTGGGGGTATGCCCCAGAGAGAGGAAAGGAGAGAGTCCAGAGATGGAGGGCCACACCGCTCCGGGACAAGAAGACAACTCTATGGGAAACAAGGCAAGAACCGGGGTAACTATCATCTTAGCCCGAGTGTTCTAGCCCGAGTGTTCGCAAAAAAATTGCAAAAAAACAAAAAAAGAGGGGGAGATGGAGGAGAAGGAGGGGTCGGGCGGCGCGTAGGCTAGCTAAGAGAGCAGCGCGCGCCGCGCGAAAGAGACAGCAGGGTCAACTTCTTAGGGTAGCAACCTGGAATGTGCGGACTTTGGCTGTAAACGGGGCCAATGGATACGGGCGAGCCTACAGCATTCTACACGAGGCAGCGAGACAAAACGTATCGGTGGTAGGAATGCAGGAGACACGGAGGGAAGGTCGAACGGAATTTTCAGCAGCGGGTTTCCGGGTGTTCTGCTGTGGCACGGAGACTGGTGGAGTCCATGGTGTGGGGATAGCCGTCAAAGAGTCACTGTGCAAGACATCCACGTTCACTACGGAGTTTATCGACGAACGCCTTATGGCCATGAGGTTTCTGTTGGCAGGCCACCGTGGAGCGGTCAACTTCGTAGCCGCGTATGCTCCAACCGAACCTTCAACCGCCGACAGCAAGCGCGTGTTCTGGGGAAAACTTGACAGTCTCGTGCGGAGGATCCCTTCCAAAGAATGTGTGTATGTCCTATTGGACGCCAATGCGCGGACGGGAGATAGGTTGGACGGAGGGGACGGAAGGGTAATAGGAATGTACGGGCGTGATGAGCTCAACGACAATGGCATGCTACTGTTGAATTTCGCAACGGAAAACAGGCTAGCTCTCACGAACACGTTCTTCGAGACACGAAAGGGCGGAATATGGCACACATACAACGGCGTGTCGGGAAACGATTGCAAGCGCCTTGACTACATCCTGACAAGGCAGGCGCATCACGGCCGAGTATCTAACGTGGTTGTCACCCCCCAGCCGGTCGCCCAGTCAAAGCAGACTCAGACCACAACATGGTAGTAGCCACCGTCAACCTCGGTGGCAGGCTTGCCCACAACCGTGCAGTCCGGACTAAACCGAAACAGCAGCAATTCAACCGACGGGAATTGCAGTTCGAAGCAGCACGGGGTGCGGTGACTAGTCGGTTCCTCCTCAACCTCGACACACGACTGGACGAGCGAACAACCACCGCCGCGGAATTCGCAACCGACTTTACCAATGCTCTCCTCGAAGCAGCGCGGACGACACTAAGGGAGGAACCGCGGAGACGCCGCACGCAGGAGTGGTGTGAGACCCCAGAGACGAGAGCAGCACTGGAGCAGGCCCTTACCAAACGGCGGGAAGCGCGCCGGGCGATGAGGGGCAACTGGAACTCAGCAACGTGGAGAACTCTCAAAGCAGCGTGTAAGGGAGTGGCTACTGCAGTCGAAACGGGCATTTATGCCCACCTGGACGGATATTTGACTGAACTCGAAGCAATCTACAAAGATCGCGACATGAGAGGACTGTACCAACACCCCAAGAGATCAGTGGGCCTCAGCGGGAGACAAGCAGGGGGACAGCAGTTCGTCGCGGATGAGAACGGCGTGTTGATCCGGAACAGGGACGACATCCTCCAACGGTGGGCGAGATTCTTCAGCACCCTACTCAACACCAAATCCCCCACCCTGAACCCAGACATCATCGAACGAGTGACGCAGCGGCCAGCGACACGTGACTGTCAACGGTTGGGACAGGTGCCACACCTCGAGGAGGTGGCACGGGCAGCGAAAGGCCTCAAGAACTGGAAGGCACCCGACCATGACTCTCTCCCTGCCGAGTTGCTCAAGATCGATGACGATGAACCCGTTGTCCTGAGACACCTCCATACCATCCTCGTCAAGGTGTGGAACGGAGGAGATATCCCCCAAGAGTGGAAGGACGCAACCATCAAGGTGCTGTACAAGAAGGGTGACCGGTCCAACTGTAACAACTACAGGGGGATTTCGCTACTATCTCACGTAGGCAAGGTCCCCATCAAGATCATCACCAACCGTCTAAGCGCCTTCTGCGAAGCCAACAACATCCTCCGGGAGGAACAGTGCGGATTTCGACCCGGGCGATCCACCGTCGACATGCTGTTTGTCGTGCGCCGCCTCCACGAGCTGGGGCGGAGAAAGAAAATACCGCTCTGCATGTGCTTCGTCGACTTGAAGAAGGCGTATGATTCGGTGGACCGAGAGATGCTATGAAGGTGCTGGCCAGGGCCGGGATTCCCGCGAAGCTAATCAAAGTCATCCGCCAATTCCACGATGGAATGCGGGCCCGGGTGCGCATGGACGACGGAGAACTATCGGACTGGTTCTTCGTCACACAGGGCGTGCGACAAGGATGTGTGCTATCCCCACTGCTGTTCAACATCTTCTTCGCCGAGGTCCTCGAGGTCGTCGTTATCCGATTCAGCGAGGATGATGTTGTTCTGCGGAATCTGGTGTGCTTGGAGGAGGGGAAGACGGAAGCGGGGGGGGGGAGGAGACACCCCTTGACCGAGTACGGAGGGCAGTATGGGGGATGCTGTATGCTGATGATGCCGGCGTCGTATCGAGGTCTGCAGAAGGACTGGCGAGAATGATGACTATCATCGTTGAGGTGTTCGGGGAGTTCGGGCTAACGGTGTCGGAGAAGAAGACGGAGACGCTCCTGATGCGCGCGAAGGACAAGCCGACTACAACATCACAGCCCCCCCCGCCTCCACCACTGACCAGCCGCGGGACAGAAATACGCCCAGACGACCGAGTTCCGGTACCTCGGTGGCCTCATCAACGAACATGGCGACCTCACCCGGGAGATCAGCTACAGGAGCAGAGGAGCGTGGGCGTGCCTCAGGCGATATGGCCAGGAGCTCTTCGACAGACCGAAAGCGCCATTCCGACTCAAGATCCGCCTCCTCC